TCTCTTTTTTATATTCAGTATTATTTCTGGATCGTTATTTATTCTGCGTATTACCTCTTCATTTGTCATTTTATCCACCCAACTTATTTTTAGTATACGGCGGAAGCACCACATCTCAAATGTAGTTCTCATCTTCCATGTAGTATGAAGATGCTAAGTTTATTTTTAAAAAAGGTAATAAAATTTATATGAAACCAAAATTTCGGACCTATTTTTCAATTTTGTAAGCAGCAAATAAGAATAGAAATATTAAAAAAAAATGTTATTTTAATTTTATTTGACTAATAGGATTATTACTCTCAAATTTGTTTCAAGTGTTTCTCTTTTTGCTGATAGATAAAAAAGTGAAAATTTACTGTTTCTTGACCTTAATTTGTTATATCCTTTAAAACACCTAAGCAGCGGTTTTCAAAGTGAACTTATCTGGACTAGGAATTCTTCGCCTAACTTAAATTCCAAGACTAAACTTCCCCTTGGGTTAATTTTTATGTTACCCGTCAAAATACGGGTAAAAAGGATGCTCACTTCTAAGCATCCTTTTTCCCATCCACGATCAATATACATTACAAAGTTATTGTTAATGTTATTATTTAATATTTCTAAACATTATGAATAAAAATTTTTATTCAATTTCATGTAATTTTTTTAATAAACAACTTGTTTTTTTCTTAAATTTTTTTTATTCATACTTTCCAGTCATTGAAAAATGCAATATTTTATTCAGTTAAAAATAGAAGTTGATCTGCTCATAGTTCCTTAAGTTCGATAACGTTTGTGTTTGAAATCCTTCTTTCAAGCTTTATTAAAGTATGTCTACGATACGTTCTCGGAGGAACCTGTAACCTCTAGAGAACGCGTTCCCAGGTGGCGGATAGGGAAATACCCGACCCGGTTTACCGGTGGGTAGAAGGGGAAATAAAATACCTCCCGTGGACTAACAGGTAATTCACCGAATGGTTGCCGGTATAAGCAATCCCACACTTATGACCAACGGCTGCGAGCGGATAAGTTAATAAGTGGAAGGGCACTCTTTTGTTTAAGGGTTAGGAAACTGGTCCTAAAGGCGGATGAATCGAAAAATAGGTCAACGGCGTAAGCATGCAGAATGCAACGGGGAACTACTGCATTAAAGATTCTTAGAGTACCCCTAGTAAAGTCATGAATGGCAAATGACAAGTAGAGTAAACAAACTTACTGATTATGGAGCACGGAATCCAAGATCCGGCAGGGGAGGAATAACTGTAGATTATAGGCCCTCCCAGGTCGTAAACCAGAGAAATCCCTGTGGACTTAAGACATTGCAAATAGCAACCTGGAATGTCAGAAGTTTATATGCAAGTGGTAAATTAGCGAACGTACTGCTTGAAATGGAAAACCTCCAAGTTGATGTTTTAGGTATAAGTGACGTACAGTGGCCAGGTGCAGGCAAACAAATTACCAATTATGGAACCATGTATTATTCAGGTAACAACGAGGTCAATGATCGCTATGGTGTTGCTATCTTAGTTGCAAAAAAGGTCAATTACTCTCTGATAAGTTTTACTTCTTATTCTGATAGGATCTTATCAATACAATTTCAGTCTAAAAAAGGTATAGTAAATTTTATTCAAGAAACATCACACTACAATAGTCCTAATGGGCGACTTCAATGTCAAAGTTGGCCAGGGAAGAGTGGATGGATATGTAGGGGAATAGTCTAGGAAATAGAAATGAACGTGGTGACTGTTTGATTTAATTTTGCCAGACGAAAGAATTTGTAATATCTAATAAACTTTTTAAGCTACCAAAAAGAAGATTGTATACATGAAAATCTCCCAGTGATACAACGAATAGAATAATCCGAAATCAAATTGACTTTGTCCTTATTAGACAAAGATTTCGTAATTCTGTACTATCTGCTACAACTTAGCCTGGAACAGACATCGGTTCAGACCATAACCCGATAGTAGTCACATTAGGAACCAAATTAAAACTGGTTAAAAAACCCACACAAAGTAGAATTGATATTAAGAGATTCAGGGAACCACAAACAAAGGAACAAACTGTAAAAACTCTTACTGAAAATCTACGTAATGCCCAAGAACTGAATAAAAGTAGCTATAACATTGATCAAAAATGGGAAAATATAAAAGTAGCAATAATTAAAACAGTAAATCAAAACTTAAAACCAAAGAATAGAAAACATAAAGACTGGATGACTGAAGAAATACTACTATTAATGAATGGAAGAAAATCATTCAAAACAAAAAATCCAATTAAATATAATGAAACTGATCGATTAATTAAAAAGAGAATAAAAGAAGCTAAGGAGAGAATGTTACATGAGCAGTGCCAAGAACTAGAAGAAATCGAGAAAAAATATGACTTTTTTAACATGCATAAAAGAATAAGAGAATTAACATTATTAACAATATCATATTTAAGGTTGCTGGGAAATGCACCCTTTCACCCCTCGTATCATCCCTTTATTTTTTTTTTAAATTACTTCCCCCTTTTTTATTCGATATTTGGATTCTCCTCTTTGTCCTAATTTCAGAAATGTATAATACATGATGCTTGAAGTGATTAGTGTATGAGAAAAATAAATACAAAAGCAAGAAAATTGGATAGAAAAAAAATTATTTTTTAACAATTTATTACACACATTTAGAATGAACATTTCACTACTAAAATTTTTTACAATAATTAATCAAAATGACTGACCTTCACTTCCATACAATAGTAAAATCTATTTTGAAATTTTTCTCTGACATTGCTTAACACGTTTGCATTTAATTGTCGACATTTATCCTCTATTCTTTGTTGTATATCATCTAGAGATTCTGGTTGAATAGCATAAATTTTTGTTTTTAAATACCCTTTAAATAAGAAGCCTAGGGGTGTTCAATCCGGTGACCTAGGTGGTTAATCGATCATCTATCGTCTTTATACTATCCAAGGACCAAGAAACGTTTCGTTTAAAAATTATCGCACAGGTAAAGCAAAGTGTGGAGAAGCTCTATCATGTTGAAATACAACCAAATCTTCGGAAAGGTTATCCTTAACTTTTGATAAAACTTTAATAAAAAGTGAATTTTTTTATTTCTTGTTTTTTTGGAAGGTACTACAAATAGTAAGGTTAAGTATTTAAAAAGTTTAAATTATGCTACAACCTATTTTGTTACAGTCATTTAAGGTGAGAGAGATAGTATCCTTGTTAACAGGAAAATTGTCTATCTCATAAACTAATCACTTCAAGCCAAAGGTATTATACATTTTTGAAATCAACACAAAAAGGAGAATCTAAATATAAAATAAAAAAGGGGGAAGTAATTTAAAAAAAATAAAGGGTTGATACAGGGGGTGAAAGGGTGCATTTCCCAGCAACCTTAAATATGATATAACGTCTTCCCCTTCAAATATTAATTGACGTGTTTTTGAGTTTTTCCAAAAAATTAGAGGTTCAAAAGTTATTTACGGTGGATAGTTTTATCTGAAAAGCACGTACCTATATAGAACAGGTATAATACCTAAAGAATAACTCCAATACACATTCATACTGCTTCCCAAAAAAGCCAATGCAAAGGAGTGCAATAAACATCGCACCATAGCCTTAATAAGTCATGTCTTGAAATTGTTTTTAAAAATAATTCAGAGTAGAATCCATACGAAATTAGATAAAGGCATAAGTAATACACAAATGGGATTTAGGAAAGGACTGGGAACACGAGATGCACTGTTTGTAGTAAGTGTTCTTTCGCAGAGATGCTTAGATATTAATCAGGAAGTGTATGCCTGTTTCATTGATTTTGAGAAGGCATTTGACAGAGTGCAGCATAATCGGCTTAAAGAAATTGTATTAAATAAAAACATAGACAGTAGAGACATTAGAATCATCTGTAACCTCTATTGTAACCAAACAGCAAAAGTGAAAGTTGAAAATGAACTGACCGAGGATATTCAGATTCGCCGTGGTGTCCGTGTATTTTATCACCCTTGTTATTCAATTTATACAGTGAAGCCATCTCAGAATTAGCGCTTGCCGAGATCAGTGAGGGCCTTATAATAAACGGTGAGCCACTTAATAACATAAGATATGCTGACGACACCGTCCTTCTGGCAGGAACACTAGAAGAACTGCAACACCTTGCTGAATAACTAAATATATATTGCAACTATTATGGACTAAAATGAAATTTGAGAGTTTCTCAAGAAAACCAAGTTCATGGTATTTACAAAAGCACAAAACATCAAAGTTAAGCTAGTACTAGATAATACAGAAATTGAACAAGTATCTTCGTATAAATACCTGTGAGTATGGATCACAGAAGATACTGATCAGACAAAAGAAATAAGATGCCGCATTGAAATTGCATGGTCAACTTTTAATAGAATGAGAAAACTTTTTTGTAATCGCGATATCAATATATCGCTTCGGATAATAATGCTTTGATTTTATATTTTCTCTACCCGTTTGTATGGGGTTGAAGCTTGAACACTTCAAAAATCCCACATTAAAAACCTAGAAGCATTCTAAATGTGGTGTTACTGACGTATTTTGAAAATATCATGGATGGATCGCAAAACAAACGAACAAGTTCTCAAACAACTAGGACAACAATGCGAAGTTTTAAATTTCATAAAAATCAGGAAATTGGAATACTTGGGGCATATTATGGGAGGTGAAAAATACGAACTACTAAGGAATATAATGCAAAGTAAAGTCAAAGGTAGAAGAAGCGTAGGAAGACGTAAAATCTCGTGGCTACGCAATCTCCGTGAATGGTTTGGATGCAGTTCAATTGAACTATTCAGACGCGTAACCAACAACATTATAATTGCCAGAATGATTTCCAATCTCCGATAGGAGTGGAACTTGAAGAAGAAGAACAAGACGATACAACGAATTTCTATTAACATACATTAATCTTCTAAATTAAAAATAATAATTGAGCAAAGCTTATTCATACAGTTTCTGGTGTATAGTTTGTTTAGCAATAAACTTACCAATAAGTACTTACTTTAATAAAATCATTTTGTTGGTCATAAACTTCTCGAACAGATGTATCTCTCAAACTTTTTAGAAGTTCTTTTTCAGTCATACCTGCTTTTCCATGAAACTTGGCAAACTCAGATAATGGGAAGTCTTTTAGAGCCCATGGATTCAACGTTGACCCACTCTGAATTATGGCTTTATGAAACAAATCTTTGGCAGAAGGAGATAAGAGTAAATATTCAACACAAGCTCCTCCTGCGCTTGCTCCGACTATGGTAACATTATTGGTATCTCCATTGAAATTTTTGATATTTCTCTGGATCCATTTTAAAGCTAGTACTTGGTCCTTTAGACCTGCATTTCCAGGAACTTCCAATGATTCGTCTTTTAAACTAAGAAAACCTAATAGACCCAGTCGGTAAGTGATAGTGACGAGAACTATATCTTCAGTCATAAGATATTCTGGACCATATGTCATGGTTTCGTGAGATCCCATTACAAAACCTCCTCCATGAATGAATACCATCACAGGTTTCAATTTGGTTTCTTCACTGGGAAGCTGAAACATAAGAATACCTTATTATGTATTACTCTTATGTATATTACTTATACATAAGATAAGTACTTGTATATAGAATACTTGATAGAGTACTTGAATAAGAAAATTCCTTGCAGAGCATCAACTTGGATAGTAAAGATCTCCGATTAATTAAGAACTTATATTGGAGGCAGAGTGCCAAGATTAGGATTGACGATCATACATCTAGAAATATTAGTATAAATAAAGGAGTAAGGCAAGGTTGCATACTATCCTCTATGCTGTTCAATCTTTACTCGGAACTACTATTCAAGCAAGCTTTGGAAAACCTTTCCACAGGAATAAAAATTAATGGAGAACCAATATCTAGCATAAGATATGCAGATGACACTGTCCTACTGGCTGATACAGACACAAACCTACAGGGGGTTATAGACCACCTTAAGGATGCTTGTCGAGAGTTTGGAATGAAGATCAACGAAAAAAAAACAAAAGTAATGGTGATCCAAAGAAAACAGAATATCCCCTTACCTATAAAAGTAAATGGGAATATTTTAGAACAGGTAAACCAATACAAATACCTTGGCTGTTGGATTAATTGCAAGCTGGACCCAGAACAAGAAATTAAAGCGAGAATTGCTCAAGCTAGGGATAGTTTCTTTAAGATGCGCGTTCTATTCTGCGATACACATATAAATATTAAATTGAGATTAAAACTTGTAAAATGTTTTATCTGGCCTGTTCTTCTCTACGGAGTCGAAACGTGGACTTTAAAAATAAAGAGCCTGAATAGAATCGAGGCATTTGAAATGTGGGTGTACCGTAGAATCTTAAAAATTCCTTGGACAGCACGAAAAACAAATGAAGAAGTACTAGCTAGACTCAATTTAGAAAAAGAACTATTGAGAACAGTCAAAAGAAGAAAAACCAGTTATTTAGGGCATTTGTTGCGCAACGAGAAATACTATATCCCTCAGTTGAAAATAAAAGGCAAAATAGAAGGAAAGCGAGGAATTGGAAGAAAAAAATGGTCCTGGTTACGTAATATCAGAAACTGGACAGGACTTGGATTTGAGGAACTCTTAAGAGCAGCTGAAGATAGACAAACGTTTGCCACCATAACCGCTAACCTCCATTGATGGAGACGGCACTTGAAGAAAAAGAAGATAAGTACCAAGGTAATACTATAATGCCAAGCTAATATTTAAAATCTATTGCTTTTAATGAATTGGAATTTATGTCATTGCATTGTGAGTAAACATCGGATTTTAGTTTGCGTAGTGTTTAGTTTAGTAATGTTTCAATTTGTACCAAAACTTCGCGGTATTTAGGCTGATGTATATATCTTTGACTCAGCTCGTTACGTGTCTTCGAAAAGCAGCAGAAAAGAAAGGGCGAGGTCGAGCCGCGAATAAGATGCGCCGACGGGATTCTGAAAATACCTGACCTTGTCGCACATCTGGATGAGCAAGTAATTGTCGTGGACATTGCCGTCAGATGGGAGGGTCCTGAACCCCTTAGTACAGCCGCTGCCAATAAAACAGCGCTGTACACTGAGTCTCGATTTCTTCAGACCATGCAGTCCCGATATCCAGGGAAACAAATTTGCATGGCACCTCTAATCGTGGGAGCTCGCGGAACCTGGTGTCAGTCAAATTCTCGTGTCATGAGAATTTTTAACCTTTCAAGGTTTGACGTGCGCAATTTTATCACGAAGGCAATAATGGGCAGCCTCCATATTCATAGTCATTTCATGATGTATTAGCATGAATGACTTATGAGCTTTTAATTTTCGAGTATTACTCCGGCTTCTTCGTATCGTGGGACCTACGCTCGTCTAGTATAGGGTTTTATCCATATTGACGAGATATTGTGTTGTCCTTTTATGTCTGTGAATTTCCTATTTACTACATTTTTTAATTCGTACTTTTTACTATTTTTAAACTTTATTACTATTTTAAGCCATATTGGCTAATTTTTTCAAGACTTTCCACGATAGTGTCTTGGCTATTGACTTTACTACAGGGGGAACGGTCGGCACGCTCGATAATTCTCTGGTCAAACATCGGACCAAAATAGGGTCATACGCTGCTGGTATGTTACTTTCCGGATCGGAACGGGGAGAACATCATGTAACTTGTCAGTTACAGTCATCATGTCAGTCCTTGGCGCTAGCCAAGCGTGTTGGCGGATTTTAGAGTTGTAGTAGAAGGAAATATAGTGACCCGTCTGCCTTCGGAAACCTAATCGCCATTCGGGAAAACGCCTGCTATGGGAAACTTTGGATTTGGTGAGAGAAAGAGAAGACAGAGGTAACAGACTTGACTTCTGACATCAGAAAAATCTCTGTGTGATGAACTCATTCTTCGGAAAGAAACCCCAACGTAAGTGGAGATGGAAGAGTCCGAACCAAAGAACAAAAAATGAGATTGATTTCATAATATCAAATCGGAAAGATATTGTTCAGGATGTAACAGTATTGAATAAATTTTCAACAGGGAATGACCATATACTAATTAGAGCAAAAACCACTTTTAACACTAAAGTTAAAAGAACAAAGATGATCCTCAAAAAGAAAAGTGGAAGGTGGATGTTCCCAGAAGATATAACACGTACATATATATTCACATTACATATATATTCCAAAAGCGTAGTAAACAGTTTCGGCGATATGATGTCCCCCTGGCGTACTCCACGTTGTATCGGGAATTTCTAGGTTTGACGATCACCCACTCTAACACTGGCTGTTGCGTTTTGGTATACAGATTGAACCAAATTAAAACGGAACATACAATTTAATACATGTCTGTTTGAACTGCATTTGAAATAGTGGACCAATATAAAACTTGGACAAAAATAAATCCATACCTGGGTATAGACATTGTATAAAATATCGTTCAACTATCCGTCTCGCAACAAAGTTGTTTACGTAAGACGGGTTTGTCTAAGGAGGCGATAATAGTTCAGGAAGTGAAGCTCGAAAAAAGTGAAAACCTCGCAATTTTTTCGTCCTGCATGTATCCAGTTGAAATTTTAGCAGAAGGTAGGTAATAGCCCGAGGATCAAAATCTATATCGAACCGAAGTGCTCTGAAGAGTTTTAGGGGTGAAAACTACCCCTAATTGTCAAAAATTATTAAATAACATATTAAACCTGAATATGGGTAAGATTTGGTTTGAATTAGTTAAATAATGATTATTTTATACTTTTGAATAGAGTTCCATCATATTTCAATCCTTAAAAAGCAACCCTTGTTTAGAGATTAATGTAAAAAATTACTAATTCTAAAAAAATGATTTCGCCTTGGATCGATTTGGATAAAAATTTGGAGTTAAGCTCAATTCACCCGCTACTTTATAGTTTATGTCATGTCGACGAACCCTGATTGTTCTTAGGGGTGAGAACTACCCCTAATTGTCAAAAATTATAAAATAACATATTAAACCTGAATATGGGTAAAATTTGATTTGAATTAATTAAATAATGATAGTTTCGTGCTTTTGAATAAAGTTCCATCATATTTCAACCCTTAAAAAGCGACCCTTATTAGAGATTAATATAAAAAAAATTAGTAATGCGAAGAAAATGATTTCACCTTGGAACGATTTGCATAAAAATTTGGAATTAAGCTCAACTCACCCTCTGCTTTATAGTTTATGTCATGCCGATGAACCCTGATTGTTCTTAGGGGTGAAAACTACCCTTAATTTTAAAAAATTATAAAATAATATTACAAATCTTAAGATGAGTGAAATTTGGTTTGGATTAGTTAAATAGTAAGTTTTTTATACTTTAAAATACAAATTCATACATTTTCAACCCTTAAAAATCAATTGTTATGAGTGCTATAGGTGAAAACAATTTTTTGCCAAAATTTTGCAACTTTTCAACTTTTGAAAATCACCCTTTACAACATTGCAGTTTTTATAAACTAATTTATAAGATATAAATTGAAAAAAGTAGAATTAAATACAAAAAAAATTATCAACATAAAAAGGCACCATATATTCTTATACATTTACATAAATAGTTGAAAATATTTACATTTATAGGTAAAACAATTATAATATTAATTTTATTCGTCATCAATTACATCTTCATCGTGATCTATGTCATCCTCATCTTCTTCAATTATTGGTGGACTGTTATTGCACCCTTCACCTGAGCACCCAGAACAAGTAGAGTTACAGTATAAACCAACTTTTCTGCACCCATATAAAACGCCGCATCTTTTTTTGCATTGGCAAAAAATAATTTTCAAAAATTTATCGGGTGCAGGTTGTTTGTTCATGCGTACGGGTAATAACAAACCATCTTTGGAATACCATCCCCAATCTGTTGTTCTGATATTTTCATTGCCAAGCCATAGACATATGAGCAGATGTTTTATTCTGTTGTATGGGATTTCAAAATAAGAACGCTTAAAATTTCGAATGTATAACGCCCCACTAGCTAATATACCGGTTTTGTAGATTATTATGCTCCGAAATGTACTGTACTATACTAATGGAATTTTCCGGAAAAAAATTAACTGGTTTTTTAACGTATTTCCTTTAATTTTTAACGATAGAGTGTTTCTTCAAAAACAATTTGTAGAGGTTTTTAATAGCTACAAGGATCTGTAAATTAAATCTTTTTGGAACCCTTGGTTTTTAAATGGGGTGAGTTTAAAGGGCTTGAAAAAGATGGTGCTTGATCGTAAATCGATGCTTTAAACGGCTATATCTCGCCAAATATTCATTGTACAACAAATCTAAATAAAGGATAATTTTAGTCATTAAAAAAGCTACAATTTGGTAATTTTTATTTTTTTCATATATTCAGTATTTTCGGGGATATTTAAAAAAAGAAGGGTAAAAAATATGAAATTGTAAATCGTTTCTCGCTTTAAGCTGTACTTTTTCTAAAACTAAGCATTTTAAGTGGGTCAAACTTCTTGGACGTATTAACAATACATCTACAAAGGGAATTGCAGAAGGGTGAAGATCGATTTTAATTATGGGGGTGGTTAGGGTGTTGTTTTCCTCAATTTTTTCGTAAAAAATGAGGTATTGACCTTATTTTTTTATGATAGGTCTATTTATGCTCTTTAAAAAAGGTTTTGTGAGTTTTCTTCCAAAAATGCATCATTTTCTCGATATTTGACTTTGAATCTTTCAAATTTGGCATTTGAAGAAAACCGCTGAACATTGATATTGTATTTGTAATTGTATTTGTCTTTTTAAAAGCTACAAATTTGTTGGTGGATTTTTTCGTCTAAGATTTGTTACTTTCAATCGCGAATAACTTGAAAAATATCATTTTATAAAAAAAATGTATAGCACATTTTTTGTTTGGAATCACTTTTCTAATCGAAACCTGTAGTTAAAACGTAAAAAAAAATTTCACCCCAGAGATGGGGTGGCAACCACCCCCTAGGCTTTGGCGCACTTTGGTTCGATATAGATTTTGATCCTTAGGCTATTACCTACCTTCTGTTAAATTTCAAGTCAATCCACGCCGCACGAAAAAATTGCGAGGTGAAATGCTACATTTCCTGGACTATAACTGGTTTGACAGCATAATAAAATCGTAGATTTATGTGTAGCTTTCAATTTTTATGAGTTCAGAATCCAGCAGCTCGCTGAAGTATGGGATTTTTTATAATATAATTATTTGACAATCTTTTGTTGGCTAACCAGCTACAGCAAAATTGAGCCGAAATACATTATATTCCTATGTTTCGAATTTATTTCGTTCAATCTGTATGTGTTTAATTCTATTTATATACCAATAGTCAATTCGGCATTCTGTCAATGCTTCCAACAGTTTTTGTTGATTTACGGTGTCGAACGCCTTTTCATAGTCAACAAATATTAAAGCTAGTGGTTTATTATATTCAGTGCATTTTTCACAGCAAGATTTTTTATTACCAGTAGGTGATCGTTTGTTCCATAACCTTTTCTAAAACCCGCCTGCTCTATGGGCTGATAAAATTCCAATTTATTTTCTAGTCGTTTCTCGTTTCGTAATTATTTTTGTAAATAGTTTATAAATATGTGAAAGTAGACTTATGGGCCTGTAATTCCTGAGGTCGGTAGCATCCTCTTTTTTATGAAGTATGATAATTTCTGCGTTATACTACTGGGTTGGTGTTATTGCTTTTTCCAGCCACTTTCAAGGCATCTGCCACTATTTCATCGCCCCCGGGAGACTTATTGGTTTTCATTTCTTGCACTGACCTTTGAACTTCATTGGGTGTTACGTCCGGTAAAATTTTAGATCCCTGATTGATTATCTTTGGTAATGATCCACTCCGGATACATTGCTGTTCTTTGTATAGTTGTATATAAAAACCCTCTATCGTGTTCATAATTTGAACTATATCTTCAATGATTTGCCCCTGTTCATTTCTTAATTGGTGGATGTTTTTTCTTCTAATGGACATGATCTGTCTGAGTACTTTCAAGCTTTTGTTTTTTTCTATTACTCTAGTTATTTCCATCGTATTGTATCGTCTCAGATCTTTTCTAACTTCCTTTTTAATTTTCTTATTCAAAATTCTTAGTTCATTTTGATTATGATCCTGATTGTCCCTTCGTTTTCTTCTTTCCTCTAGAAGATGTTTTGTGTTGTGGCTTAATTTTTTGTTACTGTTTTCAGGACGAGGACAGTATTTATTTTCAGCTTCTTTCAAAATTTCAGTAATATTATTGTTCATTTCATTGATGCTGATATTCTCTAAGTCGTGTGTATCCGAACTAGTCTTAATATTTTCTTCGTAAAGTGTTATATCTTCTGGGAACATCCACCTTCCACTTTTCTTTTTGAGGATCATTTTTGTTCTTTCAACTTTAGTGTTAAAAGTGGTTTTTGCTCTAATTAGTATATGGTCATTCCCTGTTGAAAATTTATTCAATACTGTTATATCCTGAACAATATCTTTCCGATTTGATATTATGAAATCAATCTCATTTTTTGTTCTTTGGTTCGGACTCTTCAATGTCCACTTAAGTTGGGGTTTCTTTCCGAAGAATGAGTTCATCACACAGAGATTTTCCTGATGTCAGAAGTCAAGTCTGTTACATCTGTCTTCTCTTTCTCTCACCAAATCCAAAGTTTCCCATAGCAGGCGTTTCCCCGAATGGCGATTAGGTTTCCGAAGGCAAACGGGTCACTATATTTCCTTCTACTACAACTCTAAAACCCGCCAACACGCTTGGCCAGCTCGGCGTTTTAAGGCTAAATTTCCCCTCATGATGGATACATCAAGTGTCAGTAGTGATATCTTTATCAAAACCAAACTTAACCGTTTTATATGTGTTTTATAGAGTGTATCAGAACAGAGCCATATCCTCTTTTAGCTTGCAGACCAGGCGATGCCTGGTTGGATGGCTACTCGGAGTTTACTCCGATATTCGACTTTAAAGGAAAAATGTAATTTTAATATGTTTCCAAGACATTAACAATCGATTTCAAGATAAAGTTTCTTGTTGTCGATCACAAACATTTGTCACCCAAAGAGAATTGGAATATTCAGTTTGTGAAATTTCCGTGGTAGTTACAATGGCTTTGTTATTTTTCGATTAAATTACGATAGATAATTTATTAGGAAATTCCACGACAAACAAATTATATCTTGTATCAACACAAGCCAAAAAAGAATCGATGTATTATTGGTCTATCAATGCTTACATCAGAATAAACAAAAACGTATTTTCAAAAGTCAACATAAAGGCTCAATTTTATTTAAGAATTTATATTTTGTGATATGCCCACTGACTATTAGTTTTCTGGTTGCTTAACTGTCATTGGCGGCTTGCCCACAAAACTTCAAAGGAGTGTCACTTCTCTGTGTTCATAATTCTCCGATAAAAGCAAAAAATGAGTACTTACTTTCTTTGTAAATACATGAAGAGACAAACAATCTTCCTGTCCAACATATGCGTTCGGGTTGACAAGAATATTTTTCTGGAATGCAATTTTATCTTCTGTTATAACTTTTTTTACTCCTTCCCATGGTTCAACTGGTAAAGGTGCCTAAAGAATCAATAAAAAAGTTAAAGAATTAAATAAATATACTTTGAATTAGATAATAAGAATGTTAAGTAGGAAAAGACAGAAGAGCAGCAGCAGGTGTAAGTATATTGATAAAGAGAAGGCTGTCACGAAATATTAAGAACTGGGAACAAATAAACGAAAGGTTAATAAACGTTGAGATGAAGCTAAAAGGACGTGACATAGTGGTAGTGGGCGCATATGCACCTTCTGGAGATGAAAAGGACGAGGTAAAGGATAAATTTTACGACGAATTGACGGACCTGGTAGAGAGTATTGGAACTAGGAAGGAAGTAACTCTACTAGGTGACTTAAATGCTAGAACCGGAAGAAGAGTAAATAGCAAAGTGGTCGGTCCATTTGGAGAAGAAAAAATAAATAAAAACGGTGAAAGATTAATAAGTTTCTGCGATCATATGAATTTAAAGATAATGAATGGATATTATCAGCACAAGGATATTCATAAATTCACGTGGATTCAGCCAACGAGGAATTTGAAATGAATAATCTATTACTGTTTATGCAAAGAAAACTCCACAATAAAGGTTAATAACGTTAAAGTCCATCGAGGAGCAGAATGTGGATCTGATCACCATTTGCTTAAAGCGTCACTACTATTTACATTTAAAGGAAGCCAACGACAAAATGAAAACAAAAGTTCAATGATACTGCAAGACATTTCAACAAAGAGATATAATCTACAAGGTTTTAAAATGAGTCTACCCAGTTTCTGTCTCGAATGAGGTTAAATCTGAAATTGCACGATGTTTGTTACTCCTCACCAATTAATACGTACAACGAAATTATGAAAGCTCTTAACGAAGCTGCATTGGAAGCTATTGGAGAAGTAGATAGCATAAAAAATAGAAATGAATAGTGGAATAAAGAAATAGAAGATCTTGTGGGGAAGAAGAAGAATATGTACAACAAATGGCTAACAACAAAGGACCCTTACTATCGACAACAGTACAACAGCTTAAACAAAGAAGTAAAAAAAGAGGTAAGTAAAGCCAAAAATGAGATGTGGAATAAAGCCTGCGATAACGTTGAAAATTTTATGGGTACAGCAAGAAGTAAAGAAGCCTGGAAAACAATTAGAGGTAGTAGAACAGATAGAAAAGAATACAGTAGGTTAACTCTAATAGCCCCAGAATTATGGGTCGAATATTATGAACAAATGCTGACAGAAGATCGAACAGAATTCCAAGATATTGGCTACCAAAAATATGATATTTCCTACCGCTAAGAAACTGAAATAACACCAGAAGAAATTAAAAAACACGCTAACGCTATGAAAAATGGAAAGGCTCCGGGACCGGGGGAGTACCCATTAAACTATTTCAGCTATTGGCTTATACTTTTAATTTATTCTTGAGAGGAGAAGAGCTACCCCCAGAATGGAAAACTGCATATATCAGCAATCTATACAAAAATAAAGGCGACAGAAAAGATTGTAAGAACTACCGAGGGCTTAGTGTAACTAACTCAATCTGTAGAGTCTACGGGAAGATAATTAAAAGCCGAATTGAAGATTGTTGGGAACACGCTGAAGATCAGAGTGGCTTTCGTACTGGTGTATAGACAATATGTTCTGCCTAAAACAAACAATAAAAAAGCGTTTGGAACATAATATGGAGACACACATGGTATTTATTGATCTTCAAAAGACGTATGACAGTGTCCCATTAGCCAAGCTATGTCAGGTGCTAGAAGACAAGAATATTCCACCGATTTACATTAATGCTGTAAGGGAGTTGTACGACTTGTGACCAAAGGACTTCGCCAAGGCTGCTGCATTGCACCTACACTCTTTAAGATTTATTTGGAGATTTATATTTGGAAAAAAAAATGTGAACCTTTGGGTGTTAAAATTGGAGACCATACACTGTATGGTTGACTGTATGGTATTTTGCTGATGACCAAGTAATACTTGCAGAAGATCAAGATGATATCCACTATATGTTACGAAAAATAGATGAAGAATATACTAAGTGGGGCATATCAATTAATCCATCAAAAACAGAGTACGTAGTGGTGGGAGGTGAAGGAGAGCACTTAGAACTAGGAAGCAAACAAATTCAAAATACTCTCTCGTCGCCGAGTCTACGCCGAACGCCTACCTGCTAAACCAGACACTCCTCTGTCATTCAGCGATCCGGAAGCGGAATGGCCGCTGTAAGGTCGGCATCACTTCCGAAGCACTACCTTTATTCATTCATTCTCCATTCATACACATCCACACTCCTAGTTCAGCATCATTCTCAGAAGGGCATTTCCTCCTTCCCCACAGTCAAACTCACACATTCTAACTCAAAAAGTGTGACCCACTATTCTAACTTCACCTTTCAGCATCATTCACTCTACCTTTGCCGTTGGTCTAGCTGTCTTTCTTCCTCTTCCTTTTTTTTTTGATCACTGCACGGATATAACTGTGTATGTTAATCCAACCTAATTTATTTTCAATCATTCTCTCAATCATTTCTCTCACTGTAACAAAATTCACACCTGTCTCTCTCTCCATTCTGTTCCTTTCCACTATCCATCTGCTGCAATCTAACATCGTCTGTGTCACAGTGTCCGAGTATCCACAATATAGGCATTCATCTGTATCAGCCTTACCGATCCTATAAAGGTAGGCCCTAAAACACCCGTGTCCTGTAAGCACCTGCGTCAGGAAATAATCCAATCGCCTGTGGTCACAGTCCACCCAAACTCTTATGTTAGGGATCAGCATTTTCGTCCACTGTGCCACATCCTCCGTATTGTTCCATTCTTCTTGCCATCTTTCAACTGACCTTTCCCTGACCTGTCTTCTCTCAGCCACAGTAAGGTTTGGGCCTCTTCTCTCATAAAGCTCTTTTCTTTCCACCGCCAAAACATGCAACGGAACACATCCAGTGATGGTCCATAAGGCTGCCGCAGACACAGTCCTGTAGGCGCATGCCACTCGCAACAGACTTGTTCTGTCTACTCGTTTCATAAGACTCCTATAGGCCGTTATCTCTACCACCTCGCTCCAGACTGGTGCTGAGTAGAGAACGATAGACTGTACAACACCGTGTAAGGCCCTCCTCCTTTCAGATTTGGGTCCTCCAATGTTCGGCATCACTCTCCCCAACGCAGCCGCACTATTCGCAGCCTTTCGGACCACCTCCCGAACGTGTTCCCCCCATTTTCCATTCTGGTGCAATATCACTTCTAGATACTTTACTTTTGTCTTGAGTGTTAGACATACTCCCGCACATTTTAATTCAACACCTTGCCTGTTTCTTGTCCCCTTCAGAATAATGGCTTCGGTTTTTTCTGTCGCAAGTTTTAGTCCGTGCTGCGTCATCCATTTCTTTACGACGCCACCTGCGTTCCGAACCCGGTATTTGAGATCTGGCTCATCCCGGGCTACTACCAGTACAGCGAGGTCATCCGCGAATGCGAAGGGGGTTGTACCCTCTCCGTATTCACAGTGCATAACCCCGTCATATGCCAGATTCCATAGCGTCGAGCCCAAGACAGATCCCTGGGGTACCCGGCCGTCACGTCCACGATCGTGCCCTTTTCCACCATAATCCTTCTCTCGGACAGATACTCCGCCATAACATTCATCAGGTAACAAGTACATTCTCTCTCCTCCATTGCCTTCATTACCTCGTTCCACTGCAGCGTATTGAATGCATTCTTAACATCAAACAACAGCAGGGCCGCCCAGCGATGTTCATTCCCTCTGTTGTGCAATGTTTTGAGTACACTCATGATTGCATCAATCGTGCTTTTCCCTTTACAAAAACCAAATTGCCTCCGAGATAAACCACCTGACCTCTCAATCATGTCGTCTATGCGTACTCGCAGCATCCTTTCATAGAGCTTACTGATGCATGGAAGAAGACAGATGGGGTAATAATACAGTAACATCGTACCTGGAAAAATGGAAAATTAAAGTACTGAAGTGGCCAGGTAGTTCCCCAGACCTTGGGGATCGATCGAAAATCTATAGGAGCTTATGAAAAGGGGTATTGCCCTGAAAACTCTCACGAATATGCATCAGTTAATTGAGAGACTCATTGACACCTGGCACATAAGCGATAAAATAAAAGAAGACTGTCTGAGAAACATTCAAAACATGCCAAGGAGGATCAAAGCTGTCATCGAGGCTAAAGGAGGTCACACAAAATATTAAAAAAAAAATTGTTATTTAAGGTCAAAGAAAAAAATATTTTAAAATTTTGTAAAAGAACGTGTTTATGATCATTTTTATATTAAATTCACATCACTAGACGCTTATATGCAGTTTTATTATTTAGTAAACAGCAAAATTCAAAGTTTTTTAAAGTGATCATAATAATTTGATCACTAATTGTATTTCCTATCCTTTTTAATTTTTCTGATGAGCCCTTTACACATGGTACAGTTGTTGTGGGGGAAAGGATGGGGTCCCTGATTTAATATTTTAAAAGCAAATCTTTGTTAACTCTCCTACATTTGATAAATAAAAAAAGATATAAATCTCGAAGAACCAGGAACTAATATTACACAAAATTGCGGATTAGTTATAGTGTAGTAAAATTAAAAATAGAATAATTAAAATGGGACTTCCGGTAGAAATATTTTTGTTTTATGATTTACATAAAGAAAAAGCAATATGGTAATTGCTACGTTTATGACGTGAAAAAACGTAGATTGAATGGCTCGGACATCTAGAAAGAATGCAAGGTAATAGACTAGTCAAGAATATTACTTGGAGAGTACCTGTGGGAAAAAAATAGAGGAAGACCAAGAAAGAAATGAAGAGATGTAGTGATAGAAGATGTCAGAGAGATGGGAATCAGAGATAGAAGCTGATAGGTAAGAACAGAAAACGATGAAAATTATCCATCCAGCATTGGGCCTAAATGGCCTGTTAACGTAAAACATACATATATATATATATATATATATATATATATATATATATAATATATATATATATATATATATATATATATATCTAG